CTGTATCTCTGTGGCTCAAATGAATAAATAAAATCTTTAAAAAAAAATAAAAATTTCAGGTATTCCAAAAGATGTATAGTGGTATCGCATTGTGGTTCTATTTTGCATTTTCCTAACAACTAGTGATATTGAACATCTTTTCATGTACCAGTAGCCATTCATATATCTTCTTTGTTGATGTGTCTGTTCAGATCTTTTGCCCATTAAAAAAATTAGGCTATTTCTTATTATTGGGCTTTAAGAGGTCTTTGTATATTCTGGGTATAAGTCTTTTATCAGACCTATAATTTTTTTTCTTTATTTTATTTTATTAAAATTTTTTTTAAAATTTTATTTTATTATGTTATGTTAGTCACCATACATTACATCATTAGTTTTTGATGTAGTGTTCCATGATTTCATTGTTTGCGTATAACACCCAGTGCTCCATGCAATATGTGCCCTCCTTAATACCCAACACCGGGCTAACCCATCCCCCCACCCCTCTCCCCTCTAAAACCCTCAGTTTGTTTCTCAGAGTCCATAGTCTCTCATGGCAGACTTATGATTTGCAAATAGTTTTTCCTGGTTTGTGACTTTTCATTGTCTTAACAGTGTCTTTCAAAGAGCAGAAGTTTTTAATTTTGATTAAGTTGAATTTACCAATTTGTTCTTTTTTAAATTAGCTTTACTGATGTATATATGACATACAAAGTTGCACATATTTAATATGTACAATTTGATGAGTTTGGACACATGCAAACATCTGTGATACCATCACCACAGTCCAGGTGATAGACACATTTAACACCTCCTGGAGTCTCTGTGGGTCCTTTTGCTTTACGTTGTTTTGTTTGTGGTAAGAACACTTAACATGAGCTCTATCCTCTTCTCAAATTTTGAAGCTCAAAATGCTGTATTGTTGAGTATAGGCACTGCACAGTTGTACAGCAGATCTCTGTAACTTATTCATGTAGCATAACTGAAACTTTATACCCATTGAATAATAGCTCCTCATTTCCCCTCTTTCCAGGCCCTGGCAACCACTATTATATTCTCTGCTTCCAAGAGTTTGATTATTTTAGATTCCTCATATAAATGGAACTATGCAGATATCATCTGTGACTGGCTTATTTCAGTTACTCTATGTCCTTCACATTCATCCATGTTGTCACAAATGGCAGGATTTCCTTCCTTCTTAAGGCTGAATAATATACCATTTTATGCATATAATACATTTTCTCTATCCGTTCATCCATCGATGAACATTTAGGTTACTTCCATATCTTGGCTACAGTGAATAATGTTGCAGTGACCATGGGAATGCAGGTATCTCTTCAAGATACTGATTTCAATTATTTTGGATGTATACCCAGGAGTGGATTGCTGGATAAGGAAGTTTTTGACGAATCTTCATACTCTTTTCCATAGCTGCTTCAAGTTTGTTTTTTTAGGGATTAGCGTTTTTGTATATGTAAAAAAGCTTTGTCTAAGCCAAGATCACAGAGTTTTCTCTTATATTGTCTTCTAAAAGTTCTATTGGTTTAGGTTTTAAATTTAAGTTTGTGATCCATTTTGAATTAATGCTTATATTTGTTGAGGTATAGATTGAATTATTTTTTTCTTTGGATATCCAATTGTTTTTAGCCCTATTTATTGGAAAAGACCATCCTTTCTCCATGGTAGAAGGTAGAGGAGGGGAGGGACTGTAAAGTATCCTCCAAACTGAGAAGGCACTTTGAGACTGAAAGATGAAGGAGGTAACTTCATACAGTTTACACAGAGTTTTACTCGGGATAACTTACTGACAGGAAGGATTGGGCAGACGACAATCCAGACCTCTGCAGCTATTCTCCACAAAGTCCAGACCTTGGTCTACAGGTTTTATAGAGTGAAGGGATGCCCAGGAGGGGCACTGTAGTGAGATCAGAGGGTTTGTATGCACCTAGTTGACAGCTAACATTCAGTTAGATCTCGTGGTGCCCCACCTGTGCATCAGTGGGGGGAAAGACTATGTTATCTCTAACAGATTCATGGGAGGCCAAAGCAAGCCTCTCTACCTTCTAGACGTGGGGGTATTTCTAAGGTATGTATATGAATCTCCAAGGGGCCTGGAACATGTAGCCCCAAGAGAGGTCATCGAGTGGACAAGAACAAGATGGAAGGCCAAGGATGGAGTCAGTATTGTCAGCCTTCTTACCTCCACCCCTGACGTCTTTATGGCCAGTACAATCTTTTACATGCCATTTTTCTGTGATGCCCCTACAGCCAGATATCAGGAAGTGACTTGCATCCTTATGCCACAGCAATAATATAGACAAAAGTGTGAGATTAATATACCTGTAAGACAAAATATTTGGAATTATGCTTTCCCAGTGACCTTGTAAAGAGGTGAGCCATCTAGTGAAGGCATTAGCAAAAGAGAGCTTCTTTACACGATCAATAACTTTTTGTGTATGGGACACTTAAGTTCAGCATTCTTTAGACCCAGCAGTCAGAGTGATTGTGAATTTCAACTTAAGTGGTGACAGGGAGATGTTACCTGAGGCAACAGGGAGGGACATCACCAATGTGAGGCTAAGGGCAATAAGACAAACATTTTAAAGGCAATAAATATGGTAAATCTTCATTTAGTAACAACCCAGTAGCTGTTTGGACCCCATGAACCACTACCATCCTGGCTTTTCACCATTACTCATTCTTGAGGGATGGGGTAACAACACTCTAGCTACTTCCTGCTGGAAAGTGGCATAGATTAGGATTTGAGGAATGAAACTGCCTTCCATCCAGTTATAGATACTACCTAGTACGAGGTTGAGCCCCCATCCTTCATAGAGCCATTGTTTCAGAACTCTCATGTATAGTCTTAGATAGCATCTCATTTCACATTTTGTAACCAGGTCACTTCAGCTAAACAGTTGTCTCATTTCAGGAGGCAGTCCCACAGGTGGGCTTTCAAAGTCAGGCCTTTAGGTAGAAAATTAGCCGGATATGCAAGGAAACCAGAAGAATTCAAGATCCAGCCCAGTTTTATATGTAAACAAGAGACATTCAAGGACAGTTCATCAGAACTCGAATCTAACACCCATAAAAGTGTGTTACTGAAACACAGTTTTTTTTTCTCTTTAAAGTCACCCTCATTTCCATCAAAGATAGCCAAACTAAGACGAATCTGTTTGTGAAACAAGTTCAGTTTTAAAAAACTTGGTCTAATTATTTACATAAGTACAGCAAGAATAGTGGCTGGCCATATAGGCTCTTTTAAATCAGCTTTGCTGGAACTTTCCATAAGGAATTTCAGATTAAACATTTAACAGCCTTTTGAGGCTAAGAACCAAGAGAAATACTTGTCATCAGATTTGCCTGCAATACTATACATTTGGGTTACTTCCTTTCTTCTCCAGGTCCCCAAAATATTCTGAGATTCCTGAGCCTGCCAGGAAGTGACCTTCCTTACTCACCTGGTAAGGCCCCTAGGAACCATGTAAGTTAGGTACCAGGCTGATTTTTCAAGGGGCTTCATTAGCTCCACAAAGTCAACCTTAGCTCCTTAAAGCTACCTGGTCATGTCTGAGTCTATGCATGCCTCTCTCAAATATGACATTCTGGTCAAAGCCTTGGTAATATGACCAATGTTTCCAATGGTGTCCTGTTATAGGACCACAGATTCTTACCGAACTTAAGCAAATAACTGTAATTGCCATGAAAATAAGAATACTCCTCTCCTGCTCCATCAGCCCCTCCCCCTCCTCAAATAAGTAAATAAATCTTAAAAAAATATAAAAGAAAGAATACTCACTGAGAGTTTCCAAATTTTGGAGACCAGGTAGGGAGAAAAAGATAACTCTTTCCTTAAATCTGGAGGAGTAAACATTAGAGAACTAGGAATGTTTTAAACAAGAGTCAAAAAACTATAATCATTTTCCTCAATTCATTCAGTCTTGTGTTAATAATTCTTGTTCTGTTTGAATGCAGTTTTCCATTAGTTCTGGAAATTCTTATTCAGCTTGGTTTTATGATCCTCAGGTATAAGAAACCTGTATTTGTCAAAAGTTCTCTCCATGAATCTTCTTGAAGATGAAACACATTTAGCAAAAGCATCAGAACAATAACTGTAAATGACAAAAGACTCAAAAATGGCCTTGGTTGAAGATCTGATGAAAGTTCATTATAATGCAATTGACAAGAAAATTTGTTTATTTTCTGTGACATACACTTCAGTAATTAGAATTACAAGTGATGACATTATACCAGGACATATCAAAATCTTAGGAACTTTATATGATTTCTAGAATAGTTATAGAATTCTTCCAGATAATATAACCTAAGAAGGTTTATCATCACTTATTTGACGTTACTTCCCATGTAGCTTGACATACCAAGACTAATTAATCAAGAACTTCATTTAGAATTTGAATTTGGGGAAGTTTGTTAAAAATATCAGAAGGTTTTAAAGCACATGCCTAAATAGGAGCACAGATCATTATAAAACTTAATTACCTAATTAACCAAGGTGATAGTAAGAGATTCTTAAGGCAAATATAGAAGGTGACACAGTTGTTAGCAAAACTTAGTTCTTTTAATATTGATAAGATTCAGTTTTCTTAAGTAATTGAAGACCTGATAAAGATAAAATATAGAAACTGTTTTGTTTTTTTTCTGGGCAAAGAGAAAAAAACGTTTGTTTACAATTTCTTATCAGGAGTAGACCAATAATCTACAAAAACTTTATCTTAACAGAGAAAAAACAAATTCTAATCTTATACCAGTACTTTTAAATCTCTTTCATTCCAGTCTTTGTCCTGACCATGCATAAAATTCTTTTCCAAAGATTCCTATTTCACAAACTTCCTACAACTTTTTTTTTTTTAGATTTTGTCCTAAGTTTTCCCTCCAAACAGCCAGTCTCATTTTAGGAAAAAATTATGTCCTCAACAAAAATGTATTCCCCCTTTTCATACCTTTCTTACCAAAAACACATACCTTACTACTTCTTCTTCTTTTTTTTTTTTTTTAAATAGGTTCCAGGCCCAGCATGGACCCCACCATGGGGCTTGAACTCATGACCCTGAGATTAAGATTTGAGCTGAGATCAAGAGTCAGAAGCTTAACCAACTGATCCACCCAGGTGTCCCACATGCCTTCCCTTGTTTGCATACAGTTGTTTCCCTTATTATTTCTAGTTGTTTTAATTACATTTATTAGAATTCTTACGGCTTAGAAACTTTACTTCAGTGAAAACTAAGTAGTAAGCAATTGTGAACTGTCTAAGTTACACCAGAATTCTTTGGGATTGGCAAATTTATGAATATATTTTATAATTTCCAGAAACATGTTCTTTTTTATAATTTTAATGTTGATAACTCTGAATACATGTCTATTAAAACAACAACCTTAAATTAGCTTTAATACTAACTATTTTTCCAAATACTAAGTATTTACTAAGATGGCATGAACTTGAAAAGCATTTGGGTTAGTTTCCTTCTTTCTGAGTTTTAGAATGCCCAATTCTTGTAAGTGCTTGCCTTTATCCCAATTAAATAGAGCTCTTTTACAAAGTAGTTTTAGCAATACCATTCAGAGGTCAAAAAATCTCTCATGTTTACAACCTACATATGTGGATACACACAGAGACAGATGTAAAACCCTATAGGTACAATATTTATGGAGAAGATTTTCAAGATTTGTGTTTGTACCTGTACCTGAAATTAGTCTTGAGGTGACTGTGCTCGAGTTTGAACACAAGAGCCATCTTACGAGTTTGTATTTTGAAAAAAGTCTTCTTCCCACCCCACTCCACCATTTTTTTTTCCTTCAGTGTCAGGTGATTGTGGGCTATGTTTACATTTCAAAGACAGGACAAGTTGTATAACTTAAAAGAGGTGGAGAAAGAACACAAGTTTTCCCCAAAAAGGACTTTCGTTTCCTGAAGCCAATAATTTACAAGCCTTTAAGATAAATAGGGGAAGATTTGGGATCAGAAAAGGAATAGGTGACCTTTGGGGGTGGATTGCCTCTAGAGTTGCATTTCTAGCTTTGTAAAGTTTTGTAAGATAAGGAAAGCTGCTTCTAAAACTTCAAAGAACTGGGTTGCAAGTTAAATAATGTTATAAGTTGATCTACTCAGCTGATTCCATTTTCCTCAATTTGCCTCTTCCTCTCTGGGTACATCTTACTCGTTTCCTGCCAGGATAGTATCCTGTCAGTGTTTTTAGAAGCTTCGAAATACCAATCGAAATATGCATCCCACTCAGATTGTTTAGTTCAATAGCCAGCTTTTTCTCAAGTTGGGTCCACAAATACAGTAATTAGGTATTTTAAAGAATCCTCATTTAGGCCATTTGAGAGTTGAAACCATCCCTAGTATAATCCTTTAAAAACCTTTCTTTTGACCTCCGTCACCCAGGGATTTCTAGGCTCAATTTGAACAAGCATTGAATCCCACAGGGCGTTTACCGAAGGGGTCTTCTAAAAGGTTTTCCCCAGCGTTCCTTTAGTCTTTGCAATTAACAAAACAGAGAGCATTAATTACTGTGGCAGAGCCAAAGCTCACTTATCTGCCAGTCCCTTCAGGTGCTGAACAAAGGATGTTCAGGTGGCCACTTCACCTCTAAGGTTGTGGGATAGATGAGTTCGGTCACCAGGGATCAAGTGGGATGGTCCTCGTGGAGAACCCAAGGTGACCAGTTGTCCAGAGTCAGCGAGCACCACATGAGCTGCTGCTGCCGCCAACTGCTTTGCTCCTGCTCCCAGACCACCCAGGCACACAAACCACCGACATGCCCCACCTGGGTGGCCAAAATTTATAACCGAACTTAAAGGGCTTATCCTTTGGGGTACATTAAATTCAACATAACCCAAAGGAGTGTTGAAAGCAAAGAACTTTTTACCACTTTTTACAAGCAGGGAGACAGGGAGATAGCTCTCAAAGCATCGTCTCTTTACTCATAATTCCTTTTCTGTGGAGTCTTGTCTGGCACAGAGCATGGGGGTGGGGGTGCTGGTCAGCTTGGGATTTCCCCCATGGACAGGGGGCTTTACCCTCCTGGCCCCTTGACCCACACTTGTTTCCTTTTCTGTCTCCTGCCTGGCTCGCCAACTGGTAGAACGTGGAAGAGGGGAGGGACAGTAAAGTATCCTCCAGACTGAGAAGGCACTTCGAGACAGAAAAAGCAAAGCAGGCAACTCCATACAGTTTACATAGAGTTTTATTCGGAGAAACTTACTGACAGGGAGGATCGGATGGATGTCAATCTGGAGCTGTGCAGCTATGCTCTGCAAAGCCCAGACCATAGTCTATGGATTTTATTGAGTGAGGGGACGCCCGGAGGGCATTGTAGTGAGATCAGAGGGTTCCCATGCACTTCTAAGGGTTTGCATGCTCTTAATTGACAGCTAACATTTGATTAGATCTCGTGGTGCCACCTGTGCATTAGGAAGGGGAAAGACTATGTTATCTCTAACAGATTCATGGGAGGCCAAAGCAAGGTGCTCTACATTCCAGCCTTGGGAAGCATTTCTAAGGTATACACATTAATCTCCAAGGGGCCTGGAATATGTAGCCCCAGGAGAGGCCATCCAGTGGGTATGAACAAGACGGAGGGCCAAGGATGTGGTTAGTGTTGTCAGCACTCCTGCCCTCCACTTAATTGCCTTTGGTCCTCTGTCGAAATTTAGTTGTCCATATACGTGTGGATCTATTTCTGGATTTTACAATCCAGAATTCCTTTCATTTATTTGTCTGCATGTATGTCATTATTGTACTAACTTGATGATGGTAGCTTTATAATAGGTCTTGAAATCAGATAATGTTAATCCTCCAATTTGGTCTTTTTAGAATTATTTTGGCAATTTATAGGTCCTTTGCATTTTCATAGGAATTCTGGAAACTGTCAGTATCTACAAAAACCCATGCTGAGATTTTGGTTTTGATTGTGATAGGTTATACATCAATTTGGGACAACTGAAATACTAACAATATTGAATGTTCCACCTTATTACAAGGCATAGCTCTCTGTTTACTTAGATCTTTAATTCCTCTCAGTGGTGTTCTGTAGTTTTAAGGGTGCAGGTCTTTGCCATGTTTTGGCAGGTTGGTTTATCCTTCAGCATTTCATGTTTTTTTGATTCCATCTTTAAAAAGAAGAATTTTGTTTTGTCTTTTTATGAGCAATTTTAGGTTCACAGCAAAATTGAGCAGAAAGTTAGAGGAGTTCCTGTATGCTCCCTATCCCCATATACACACGGTCTTCCTCACTATCAACATCCCACACCAGAGTGGTACATTTGTTACAACTGATGAGCCTACACTGACACATCATAATCACTTATAGTTCATAGTTTATACTGGAGTTCATTATTGGTGTTGTACATCCTATGGATTTTAGCAAATATATAATGGCATTTATTCACCATTATAGTATTATACAGAAAGTTTCATTGCCCTACAAATTCCTTGTACTTCATGATTCATCTCTCCTTCCCCACTAACCCCTGGCAAACATTGATCTTTTTACTGTCTATAAGTTTTGCCTTTTCGAGAATGTCATATATATTGGAATCACAGTATATAGCCTTTCCAGATTGGCTTCTTTCACTTAATAATACACAGTTAAGTTCCCTCCATATCTTTTCGTGCCTTGATAGTTCATTTCTCTTTAGTGCTAACTAATACTTTATTGTCTGGTGTGCCACAGTTTGTTTATCCATTCACTCGCTGAAGGATATCTTGGTTGCTTCTAAGTTTTAACAATTATGAATAAAGCTTCTATACAGATCCTGATGAAGGTTTTAGTGTGAACATAAGTTCTCAGGTTCTTTGGATAAATATGATAGAGCATAGGATCATATGGTAAGAATATGTTTAGCTTTGTAAGAAACTACCAACTGTCTTCCAAAGTGGCCATACCATTTTGCATTCCCACCAGCAGTGAATGAGAGTTCCTGTTGCTCCACATGTTCTCCAGCATTTGGTGTTGTAAGTGTTCTGGATTTTTGCCATTCTAATAGATGTGCAATGTTATCTTGTTGTTCTAATTTACAATTTCCTAAACATGTTTCATGTGGACCTTCTTTTCATATCTTCTTTGGTGAAGTGTCTGTTCAGATCTTTTGCCCATTTTTTAATTGGGTTGTTAGTTTTCCATTGTTGAGTTTTAAGAGTTCTTTGTATATATTGTATAACAGTCCTTTATTAGATATGTGTTTTTGCAAACACTTCCACCAGTCTGTGGCTTGTCTTCTCATTCTCTTGACAGCATCTTTTTTTTTTTTTAAAGATTTTATTTATTTATCTGACAGAGAGAGACACAGCGAGAGAGGGAACACAAGCAGTGGGGAGCGGGAGAGAGAGAAGCAGGCTTCCCACCTAGCAGGGAGCCCAGGACCCTGGGATTATGACCTGAGCCAAAGGCAGACGCTTATCGACTGAGCCACCCAGGCACCCCCTCTTGACAGTATCTTTTGCAGAGCATAAGTTTTTAATTATAATAAAGTCCAACTTATTAATTCTTCCTTTCATGGATGATGCCTTTAGTGATTTATCTAAAGAAGTCATCACCAAACCCAGGGTCCATTAGATTTTCTCCTACCTTATCTTCTAGGAGTTTGAGAGTTTTGTATTATACATTTAGATCTATGAATCATTTTGAGTTAATTATTGTGAAGGGTGGGAGTTCTATATCTATATTCATTTTGTACAAATGGATATCTATTTGTTCTAGTACCATTTGTTGCAAAGACTATCTTTTTTCCACTGAATGGCCTTTACTCCTTTGTTGAAAATCAGTTGATTATATTTATCTGGGTCTATTTCTGGACTCTCTATTTTGTTTCACTGATCTATTTGTCTGTTCTTTTGCCAATGCCACAGTGTTTTGATTACTGTAGTTTTATAGTGAGTCTTGAAATGGGGTGGTGTCTGTCCTCTGACTTTGCTCTTCCCTTCAGTGTTGTGTTGGTTATTACGGATCTTTTGCTGCTCTATATAAACTTTAAAACCAGTTTGTCAATATCCACAATAACTTGCTGGGGTTTTGATTGGGGTTTCTAGTTTTATTTATATAGAACTTGTTCATATTTTGTTAGATTTATACCAATGCAGTTCACTTTGAGGGGTGCCAATGCAAATGGTAGTATATTTTTAATTTCTGATTCCATTTATTCATTGCTGTTATATAAGGAAGTAATTGACTTTTGTATGTTAACTTTGTATCCTGAAACTTTGCTATAATCATTTATTGGTTCCAGGGAATTTTTTTTTTTTTGTCAATTCTTTGGATTTTCTACATAATCATGTCATCTGCAAACAAAGACAGTTTTATTTCTTCCTTTCCAATCTGTATATCTTTTATTTGTTTTTCTTGTCTTGCTGCATTAGCCAGGGCTTCCGGTGTGATGGTGAAAAGGAACAGTGGAGAGGAAATCCTTGTTTTGTTCCTGATCTTAGTGGGAAAGCTTCTAGGTTCTCAACATTAAGTCTGATGTTAGCTATAGGTTTTTTGTAGATGTTCTTGAACAAGTTGAGGAAGTTCCTCTCTACTCATAGTTTGATGAGGGTTGGTATTATAAATAGGTATTGAATTTGTCGATTTTTTTCTCCATCTATTGATATGATCATGTAATTGTTCTTCTTTAGCCTGTTGTGATAAATTATATGAATTGATTTTTTTCTTTCTTTCCCCCAGCTTTATTGAGGTATGATTGACAAAAACAGTACATATTTAGGTTGTACAAAAATTTTAAAGGTGTACAATGTGATGATTTAATATACATGAACATTTTGAAATGATTACCACAATCTAGTTAACATATCCATCATTCACACAGGTCTGTGTGTGTGTGTGTGTGTGTGTGTGGTGAGAACATTTAGGATCTACTCTTTTGGAAGATTTCAAGTATATAATACAATATTACTAACTACAGTCACTATGCTGTATGTCATATCTTCAAGACATATCCATCCTGCATAACTATATAACTTTGCATAACTGTATAACTTTCATAACTGCATAAACTTTGTATCTTTTGATCAACACATCCCCGTTTCCCTCACCCTGCAGCTCCTAGTAATAACTGTTCTACTCTTTGGTTCAGTGAATCTGCCATTGTTTTTTCTTTTTAGATTCCAAATATAAGTGAGATCATTTGGTATTTGTCTTCCTGTATCTGACTTATTTCTTAGTTTCTGGCTTATGTCCTCTGTGTTCATTCATGTTCTCACAAATGGCAGAATTTCTTTCTTTTTATGGCTAAATAATGTTTCACTGTGTGTGTGCATGTGTGCCTGTATGTGCGCGCATGTGTGTGTGAGAGAGAGAGAGAAGCATTTAAAATCCATTTATCTATAGATGAGCACATAGGTTGTTTCCATTATCTTGGCTATTATGACTAATGTTGCAGATGAACATGGAGTACAGATATCTCTTTGAGTTATTAATTTCATTTCCTTTGGATATATTCCCAGAAATGGGGTTGTTGGATCATACAGTAGTTCTATTTTTATTTTTTTTGAGGACTTTCCATAGTACCTGTACCAATTTACATTTCCACCAACAGTATACAAGGGTTTTTCTTCATACCCTTGGCAACACTTATGTCTTGTCTTTTTGATAATAGTCATTCTGACAGTGTAAAGTGATACTTCATTGTGGTTTCGATTTGCATTTTTCCCTGATGATTAGTGATGTTGAGCATCTTTTCATGTACCCATTCACCATCTGTGTGTCTTCTTTGGAAAAATGTGTATTCAGGTCTTTTGTCCATTCTTAAATCAGATTATTTGGGTTTTCTAATTTTTTATTTTTGCTATTGAGTTGTGTGAGTTCCTTATATATTTTGGATATTAACTTCTTATCAGATAATATGGTTTGCAAATATTTTCCCCATTACGTTGATTGCCTTTTATTTTGCTGATTGTTTCCTTTGCTGTGCAAAGCTCTTTATTTTGGTATAGTCCCATTCCTTGATTTTTACATGCATTGTGTATACTTTTGTTATCACATATGTTAATTGATTTTTTGAATGTTGAACTGGCCTTGCCTACATGGCATAAATCTCAGTTTGTCATGGGGTATGATGCTATTTTTTTCAATGATAAATTTCAGTTTCTAACGGTTTGTTTCTAGTATATAGAAATACATTTGGTTCGGGACGCCTGGGTGGCTCAGTCGGTTAAGCTGCTGCCTTCGGCTCAGGTCACGATCCCAGTGTCCTGGGATCGAGTCTCACATCAGGCTCCTTGCTTGGCAGGGAGCCTGCTTCTCCCTCTGCCTGCCTCTCCCCCTGCTTGTGTTCTGTCTCTCTCTCTCTGACAAGTAAATAAAATCTTTAAAAAAAAAAAAAAGAAATACATTTGGTTCTTGTATGTGGATCTTGTATATTGATCCTGTAATCTTGCTAAACTGATCTTTAATTCTAGTAAGTTTTTTATAGAATCCATTGGATTTTCTATGTAGATAATCATGTCAGTGTTGGTGAGTTTGCAGCCAAAGACTCGAGGGGGACCCTTTGCAATCTTCAGAGCTCTTTTTCTGTGCATTTCTCTACTTTAGGGTACTCTACCCTACAAACTCCAGGCACTTTGGCTTCCCAAGCTTTCAGATCTCTCTTATCATCTCAGGGAAACTGATGGGCTCTATCTGGGTTCCCTTACTCTCTACCATGGCCTGGAAATGTTTTGTAGTAAAGTCATAGGATTTGTTACCTGTCCCTCAGGGACCAAGATGTTCAATGTCTTGAAAATTGTTGTTTCATGTATTTTGTCTGTTTTTTTGAGTTGTTTTCTTTTGGGGGAAGGGTAATGCAAATCTGGTTTCTCTTACCCCTTCTTGGCCAGAAGCTAAAACTTGAAGATACCTTCCCATGTAAGAATGTATTAGTGTATTTCAATTTTTATTAAAGGAAGCACTGTATTTATTTTACTTTATTTTATTTGAGAGAGAGAGAGAGAGATCATGAGCAGGGGGGAGGGATAGAGGGAGAAGCAGACCCCCTGATGAGCTGGGAGCCCAATGTGGGACTCGATCCCAGGACCCTGGGATCATGACCCGAGCTGAAGGCAGATGCTTAATGGACTGAGCCACCCAGGCACCCAGGGAAGCACTATGTTTTGTATTTATGTGCTATACTTTATACATTGTTTCCTTATTGAAGGATATTTAGATTGTTCCACTTTGTTTTCTTTACAAATGAGATGTAATGCATGTTCTTCTCAATATTATCTGAATTGCACTGAATTTTGCATGAAATGAGTACTTACTGAGATACTTAAAATTGTATTCATATCAGCAAAACTGAATGCCTAGTACTTGGCCAGAATTATATTAAGCAATATATATAATCATATTGAGAATTCTTATTTAAAGACACAATACTTAAGAGAATTAAAGCATAAAGTGAAATAATAAGAATACACAGCCACCTTCAGTTTATCCAGAGTCTTAGGGGAATTGGGTATGCTGGATAAATGCCTTTTTTGGACATTGGTAAGGCTAAAAAATGAGGTAAAAAATGATTTGAACTCAACCTAATTGAAATCCTGAAAACTGTATTATATACTTCCTAACTTTAGTATAAAGAATAAAATTAAATAATTTAACCATATCTTGATGATTCACAATCATTCTTATAAACACAAATGCATATATGCTGATGTAGAAGTTGTGGGACATTGAGAAGAATCAGTACTGGCAAATGCCATCAGGATTAGGTAGAATGTCCATGCATTTTAGCTGACTTCCTGGTAGAATGTCTCTTTTCTTTCAAGTACTTTCATAGTGCACATTTTAGCTTAGACTTAGTATATCAGTTATTAGAGTGGTTTATATTTATATCTTTTCATTCTGCTATATTTTTAGTTCCTGGAAGGCAGGAACACCCTGTTCGTCATGTTTTTAAACCCCACAGTTCCTGGGTAAGTATTGGATATGATTAATTTAGGAGGACTTAGGAGAATAAGAAATTTCAAACTCTTGTCTGATGAATTGGGATATAAATACATAAGTTAAAACAAAATATTGAAAAGGCTAACAGTCCAATATTACAACAAGACAAATAGTTTATATCTTAATCTGAAATTTATCTCTGTACATTGCTGAAAGTTTAGTAATGTGTATGTGGACCAGCAAGAATATACAAAGAGAGTGAGAAATGAATAGATTGGGAAAAGGAATCTCTCCAGTCACTCTAAGGATAGAGAAATTTTACCTTTTGGCTTCTCAGGAGGAAGAGGAAAAAAAACTTAGGTTTGAGTGTGTTGTGTCTTCTTTCCCATCTGATGTATTGTCATAAGGTCAATGAGAGAGGGAAATTCTAATGTAGTCTAATATAGTAGTTGAGGAAAAAAAGACTCTAATATAGTAATTAATTAGTTGAACAAATTATATATTGAGCACTTACTATTTAGTTATCACTTTGCTAGCAAAATTCAGAATCCACTTTTTAGGTGTTTGCTAACTAGCCATGGTTTACTTCTTCTGAAATGGATTTTTTCTTTGGGATCAAGAAGATAAACCCTAACAAGGATGAATTGGAAATTAAGATATAAGGCACTTCTCAAAGATTTTCCTTTACACTAGGAGTAATTTTTTGCTTTGGCCATTTGAAAAGTAAATATGGAAAAAAAGATAGCAAGTCCCTAGTTTGAGAGAGATAACCTTTAGGAAGATTTTGATATACGTTGACAAAACTACCATCTGCATTTTAAATTTTATTCATAATTTATGATTGCTACCCCTGCTCACCTTTCAAGCAAGGTCTAAACTAAAAGGGAAATATTTTTCCTCTTTTCTTTTATCTTATGTGTATTGAAACAGTTGTATTTTAAAATTTCAAAGTACAGAGCATAGCTGGATCTCTTTTTTTTTCTGTGGGGATTACTTACACATCCCAGAAAGAGGTGTGAAGTAGGCTACAGGAAAGATGTACTGCAGAAGAAAAAAGCATAGTGAGAAGCATGATGATATTGTTTCCAAATTTTTAACCATATACTTTGGCAGGAAAAAAAAATGATCTTAGAAAAATGATTAAGAATACAGATGGTTCCTAGCTTATGATGGTTCAGCTTATGATTTTTAGACTTAACAATGATGCAGAAGCAACCCACATCCATAGAAACCATACTTTGCATTTTGAATTTTGATCTTTTCTTGGGCTAGGCGTATGCGGTAAAATATTCTCATGACGCTGGACAGCTCCCAGTCAGCCTTGCACTCACAAAGGTAAACAACTGATACAACTATGACCATTCTGTACACATATAACATTCTGTTTTTCACTGTATTCAATACATTACATGAGATATTCAGCACTTTATTATAAAATAGACTTTGTGTTAGACAATTTTGCCCAGCTGTAGGCTAATGTAAGTGTTCTGAGTTTATTTAAGGTAGGCTGGGCTGATCTATGATAACAGGTAGGTTAGGTGTATTAAATGCATGTTTGATTTATGATGAATGTATTGGGATATTGGGATGTAATCCCATCATAAATTGAGGTAGATCTGTACTGAATTCAACGCTCTCTTTTTAATCTGCTGACTTCTAAATGCAAAAGATTCTATTTTAGAACAAATCCTTCTCCGACAAATTTTCTTTCCTGATACATTTTGGTATGTGGTTAATTTTATAAATTGCCTAAAATATAACATCTTTCCATTTTGCTAACTCATTGATTCCGTTTTGTAACAATTGAATCAAGGCCTGAATGAGAGGATAATAAAGATAGGGTAGATTAAGAATAAGTACTTCAAACAATGGAAAAGAGTTATTTCAACATGTTCTTTTCTTGCCACAACACACTCAGATAGGCACGTCTGGATCTTGACTTTCTGGAAAAGTTATGGAGATGTAAAGCAACAAATATTATACACAATTATACCACTGTACCTTTAACCAATGTCTCCCCATTTTCTCCTCCCCAATCCCCACCCCTGCAATTACCTTTCTATTCTCTGTTTTTATGAGTTTGACTCCTTTACATTCCACATACAAGTTAGGTGAGATCATGCCGTATTTGTCTTTTTGTGTCTGGCTCATTTTACTTAGTATAATGTCTTCCAGGTTCATCCATATTGTTGCATGTAGCAGGATTCCCCACCCCCCTTTCTTTAAGACTGAATAATAGGCTGAGTAATACTCCAGTGTGTGTGTGTGTGTGTACAACAATACATACAAACACACACACACACACACACACACATATATATATATACACCACATTTCTTTATCCATTCTGTTGGTGGGCATTTAGGTGGTTTCCATATCTTAGCTATTGTGAGTAATACTGTAGTGAACATGGCAGTGCAGTTATCTCTTCAAGAAAGCACTATTATTAGGGCACCTGGGTGGCTCAGCTAGTTAGGCATCCAACTCTTGATCTCAGCTTAGGTCTTGATCTCAGGGTTCTGAGTTCAAGCCCTGCGTTGGTCTCTACTCTGGGCATGGAGCCTACTTAAGAAAAAAAAGAGAAGGCACTATTTTTTTTTTTAAGATTTTATTTATTTGACAGAGAGAGACACAGTGAGAGAGGGAATATAAGCAGGAGGGGTGGGAGAGGGAGAAGCAGGCCTCCCGCCAAGTAGGGAGCCCGATGTGGGGCTCGATCCCAGGACCCTGGGATCATGACCTGACCCGAAGGCAGACGCTTAACGACTGAGCCACCCAGGTGCCCAAGAGAAGACACTATTATTAAATATATCTTCTTGCTAACTAAGACTATTTACGGATTTTTAACCCATCACTTGAAGAACATAATGACTAATATTACCAGCATCATCACTTAGTCTTCATTTGATTTGGTCATTTGGACTGTTACTCATGATACTTGAATCATGATGGTTCAAGTATCAGGCCAATGGAGATGACTGGTTGTAAAATGGTTGTCAGTGGAGGGGCACCTGGGTGGCTCAGTTGGTTAAGTGTCTGCCTTCAGCTCAGTCATGATCCCAGGGTTGTTGGATTGAGCCCCACATTGTGCTCCCTGCCCAGTGGGGAGTCTGCTTCTCCCTCTCCCTCTGCTTCTCCCCCTGCTTGTGCTCTCTCTCTCTGTCAAATAAATAAAATATTTAGAAAAAATAAATAAAATAAAATGATGGTCAGTGGATCCTGAGGTTCTGTGGATGTGTCTCAAGTGTGAGCAAAGGGGAGCAGCCAAAGTCTAAGTGGGCAACCTTGCCCCTGGCCCAGGGTTTGAATTAGAGCAATTTCACATTTATCTGTTTTATATTTTGGGATTCTACAAAAGTCTTCTTTGAAAAAAGTTTTCCTTTTCCTGTACAAAGAAAATACTGGAAAATTTACGCTATAAATGCCTTGTTGTGGTCTCTTTATCTCTCCTTTCTTAATAAAAATTTATCCATGGGTAAAACTAAAATGAAAATGGAACCAAATACAAAATCAGCACCAAAAACACTATAATGATTCATAATTGCTGTAGTTATTAATGGCATATCATTAATGATAGCTCACTAAGGGATGTGGTAGAGGAAATATAAATTGCAGGTTATGTCTAATTCTCTTTACCTGCAATTTCAGCTATTTCTTCCAATTTAGAAAGCAGATAGGAAAGCAAGTGAGTGAGAGAGTGATACTATTCAGGGGATAACCTTGAATCTATTCTAATTTAGAAGAGAAAGTAAATCATTTGTATGATCGACATCCTAATTATTACTATTAAAAGTATTTCAACACCTCTCATTACTAATGACATCACAGTGTTTGAGGATTTTCTAGGGTAAGGAGCTGAGAGCAAGAAGTCACTGCACTGATTTTAAAATATGAAATTTTTGGATTGCAAGGGATACATTCTGTTGAGGACACCTTAGATTTTTGAGGTATGATAGCTCTTATTCCATATTTATTTATTTTTATCATAATCTCAATAGAAGATAATCTACGTGGCAAGAGAGAAAACATCCTTGGAGGATGACTGGTGATTCTGCCTCACAGGATTGGTGTGAGAATCTCATGAGGTCCTCTGTGAACGATGCCCATAAGGAAACAGTTCTTAGTCCCCTGGAGTGAGAGGGAGAAGGCATAGCTCAGATAAGCAGTGTAGCCAGGAAGAGTGAGGGACTGGAACCTGATTAATAAGTTAATTGAAATGAAACTAAACAGCTTGTTTGTAGTAATACAATCTTCAAAGCACAGTTTTGTAAGGGATTTGGATCTGTAGGAAAAGTGGGATTTATGCTAGAAATAGAATCAAGAGGGTAAGAATCTGTACTGTTACTAGAAATTAATAGGCCAAGGCTGTGCATATTCTCTTCAGGAATAACTCATGGATTTACAAGTGACTTATTAAATTAAAACTGTCACCCCCTAACTGTGCTAGTAAGCTGTGACAGCAGAGTGTGGGCTAGGCCTGGGGACATAATACACGGAGCATGACACCTGGAGGATACTTTCAATAACCTGACCCACCTTCCTTTTTTATTTTATTTTATTTTATTTTATTTTATTTTATTTTATTTTATTTTATTTTATTTAAGTAGACTCCACACCCAGGGTGGAGCCCAGCGCGAGGCCTGAATGCATGACCCTGAGATCAAGACCTGAGCTGAGATCAAGAGTGAGACACCCCACCTTCCTATATTTTAATAGTGGATTAGGTGTGAATGGGGTGAGCAGGAGGTGGGTGCGGAGGGACCCCTAAAGGAAACCGTTAGGAGGTGAAAATGTTCAAGAGAAAAAAGGCTTCTAGACCTCCTTTCTTCACAACAAGGATTTAGAAAACTTTCTGGGTTTTGCGACTTCCAGTGGCATGTGCAGAAATCCAAATGACCAATCCAATAAAATTAGATATAGTAACATTCTTATCTGTATCTTGATAAATCAGTACTTGTTCCCGACAGATGATTAAGGGTTGAGATACTGGGTGCTGCTAACGTTACTGACAGACATCACGAGACTTGGTAGGACTTTTGCTTCAAAGCGGGAGGAAAATTGCCTAAGACGTGTTTTACTATGGGCCAGGTGTGCCTCGAAGGGCAAAAACAGCTGACAACAACAGGACTTCAGAGCATTCGCAGAGCGTGCCGAAGGAGTGAGGTGAGACTCTCTTTGCTATATCCGAATCAAGAAAGAATACCTCCAGTGAGATCCATCGTTACGGTTAAAGATGGGGCTCTGCAGTCACACACACCTAGGGTTGAATTCCCAATTAGTCATGCACCTGGTGACCTCGGATAAATTCTTTAACCTTGCCAAGACTCACTTTCCCTATTTTTGAAGTGGCATAATAATGATAATTTTCTCCTAAAATGGGATTAAATGAACACTTGCCGAGTTGCCAATAACTCTTCTTATTCCCATTATTGTGAATAATAACCAAAATGCTATGCAGAATCATGTAAAGCTTCTAAAATGTGAGAAGCCACAAAATACAAATGTGACCCCGTCATTATTCTCAGTGGGTGGTGTGGAGGGAGGAAATTCGAGAGGCATGAGGAGGGTTTTCCCTAAAAATAAGCTGTTGTCCCACTCATCAAAAATACATGTCAAATTTGGGAGAAGGGGTAACATCAGCTTGAACTTAAGACAATTTTAGATTATCTGAAAAACTAGTAGTGCTGATTGTTGGAGGTCTTTTTGCACGAAGCATGCGGGGCTTTCAAAAGAGGAAGAAAGCAAAGGATGGTTTATCTGATCTCATGCAATGTTTGTCTTTTGCTTGTCAGATTTTGCATTTTGCTCTTGAGAAACAATATAGAAACAGACAGTTGCCAAAGCATATGTGACAATTGAACTCTGACCCATGTAAGAAACCTGGATGACAAACCACAATTTCTTTAGCAACCAGCTCCGGAAACCAAACCACAACCCATGCAACAAACAGCCCAGAATGGTAAGGGTTTCGTCAGTAACTGTCAAGTTCCCTCTTTTTGCCCTAACTTCCAACTCAGGACCAGCCAGATAAAGCCAGAGATACCCTCCAAACCAATCACAGAAGATGACCTGCTTTTAGTGAGTCCGCCTCTACCTACACCATAGCAACACCTCCAATCAGAGCACACCTGAAGCCTTGCCTTTTTTCTTGACAAAGCTTTCCTGCATCCATGCCTGCCTTTGAGTTTCCTCCAAACCCAAGTGATGGGTGCTGATTCCCTTGTTATAGCAAGCTCTGAATAAATATCCTCTGTTCTCATTTGGGTTGTTTTCATTTATTATCAATTTCTATAGCACGCATGTTTGTTTTCATGAGACAATAATGTTTAACATTAATGTATGAAATTGTCAGTGAGTAAAATGAATGTTTCAGAGTGGTACTGTGTTTGATCCTGTACCTCTGGGTGTTCACAAGCCCTGGTTTGAGGATTTTTTTTTTTAAACATTTTTTTTCAATTACAGTTTACATACCATATAATTAATCCAGTTGTTCTGGCACCGTTTGTTGAAAATGCTGTCCTTTCTCCCATTGAATTGCCTTGACACCTTTGTTGAAAATCAATTGACCATAAATATGAGGGTTTATTTCTGGATTTTCTATTCTGTCCCATTGATCTATATATCATACTATCGATTACTGTAGCTTTATAGTAAGTATGAAGTCAGGTCGTTTAAGTCCTCCAATGTTCTTTTTCTAAAGTGTTTTGGCGATTCTAGATCCTTTGTACTTCCATATGAATTTTGGAGTCACTTTGTCTTATTTGCCATAGACCTCCATGCAGTTTAGGTGCTGAGATGAGTCAGGGCTTGGTGGTGCAGGCTGGGGGAGTCTCTTCATCTCTTACTCATTTTAGCAGATACTATGTTTAAGTGAAATATTTCTGCAAGAAATATTCACCAGAAGGTCTTGGAAAGCTATTTCTTTTCTTAATTCTACATTCTCTACTAACATCTTTGACTTCTCTAAAGAATCCTTTCTCTTCATTCTCTGAAATATTCTTTTCTGCTTTTGTCCTTTAACATGGACATTCTTCAATGTCATACAAGCAGTCACATCTGCTAAAGTGTATCTCCAAATGTTTCATTGAAAAGAACAGGAAAAAACTAGGATTATCCTCTTACTAAATAGGAATTTATTATTTGTGTAATCTGAAAATGAGAATATTGAATATAGTAATACATATGCACTTACATTTGTTTTTGCCACAGAAAGTAGTGGTAGAAATTATCTTCTGTGTAAACATAGATGGTGTTCAGAGTAAAATGGCTTCCTTTATGGAGAAAAAAATATATATGCACAATTTAACTAATTATGAATGTGGAAGAAAAAGCAATTCTGTGATTGCATAATAACTCACTAGCTGGCTAATCTTAAAGGGCAAGTGGTAAAATCAGCCTTTTTGAGCTTGCCTATTAGAAGTCTCAATAATGTATAAGAGGCTGACTTTTGTTTTTCTCGTATTGCTGCTATTTAAAATCAGCACATGAATTTATTTGTATTAAAGTTTCTAACCAAGTGTAGAACTTTTAAAAGTGGAAAAATTTAAAGCACATTTTAGCATGAGTAGAGCACCTTTTTTTTTTTTAAAGATTTTATTTATTTATTTGACAGAGACAGAGACAGAGAGAGCAGGAATATAAGCAGGGGGAGTGGGAGAGGGAGAAGCAGGCTTCCCGCTGAGCAGGGAGCCCGATGTGGGACTCGATCCCAGGACTCTGGGATTGTGACCTGAGCCGAAGGCCGCCATTTAATGACTGAGCCACCCAGGCGCCCATGGGTAGAGCACCTTAAAAGTAGTAGTCATTCAATCAACATTTAGAGCCAATGATAAGCATTTTATTTTACTTTTTTTTAAGTTTAAAAAGACACTACATACATCTTAGGGTATATTTTATATAGTATTAATATAAATTTTGTACCAGAAAAAGCAAATGAAAAAGCATTCAAACATTCTATCAGACTATGTCTATGTATTGTTAGGAGAGCAAAAACAAATAAACTCAGGGTTAAAAAAAGCAATTCTGGGAATTTAAAAATAGTTTCCTTCAGCAGAAATAAAGTAACCAACTCTCCAAGCATACCATTTTATTCACTCGGAAGAAGCAAATTCAAAATGTGTGTAAACCAGTCTAGTTGACTACAAAGTAAGCAGAATCAATTTATATTTATCATGTAACTATTTTGACATCTTTTATTACTTAGTGGGTCTCCATGCTGATTGAAGGGGACTGGCACAAATTCTAGGCTTTGGAAAAGTTGAGTAATTTTCATCTAATTGCACTATAAATAGAAATATCTCAGTAATATTAATGGCTATCAACTAGTAGGGATTTCTTGAGTTTACATGTAGATATCCATACATTAATAAGTATATATGTAAATGAGTGTATTAAGTAGTTAAGTGCTTTATTTTTATTTTATTTTTTTAAAGATTTTATTTATTTGACAGAGAGAGATAGCGAGAGCAGGAACACAAGCAGGGGGAGTGGGAGAGGGAGAAGCAGGCTTCCCGTGGAGCAGGGACCCTGATGCGGGACTTGATCCCAGGACCCTGGGATCTTGACCTGAGCCGAAGGCAGACACTTAACGACTGAGCCACCCAGGCACCCTAGTTAAGTGCTTTAGAACAGTGCTTGGCTGATAGTAAGGAGTCAATATGAATTAGTTATTATATGGACATATTAGTGTTATCCACATATTATTTCACTGTATGTTTATTAAATAAGTTGAGGAAAATCCTGCTCTATTAGCTGTAAATGGAACTAGCTGCTTGTCAGTATGAACTTTTGACTCTGGTGCTGCCCATTTGAATAGTGAGCCGGCGGCTGATAAGCATGTAATACTGAAGGGTCACCAATTCTCTCAGCACTAGGTGTTCATTTTGACATCATCTTGCCAGGGAAAGGAATAAATGACGTAAATGATTGAAGTAGAGAACCAAAAAGAATGATCCTGCAAAAGTGATATTATTTTACACTATGAGCTGACTTAACTTTCTCCTTTTTTTTTTTTTTTAAGATTTTATTTAGTTATTTGTCAGAGAGAGAGAGAGGGTGCGCGAGCACAAGCAGGAGGAGTAGCTGGCAGAGGGAGAAGCAGGCTTCCCACGGAGCAAGGAGCCCAATGCTGGACTCCATCCCAGGACCCTGGGATCATGACCTGAGCCGAAGGCAGACGCTTAACTGACTGAGCCACCCAGGCGTCCTAACTTTCTCCCTCGACTGAAGTTTAGACTCTTTGCTGATGGCATCAGTTGGCTTTTTTGTAAAACAAATCACTTTCTTTTGAAGTGTGATTCTCTAACAAGGAGTCATGGTTTAATATATATTAATGACATGGATAAAAATAGTATTCAACCTATTCATTTTTATAACAAAAGTATGAGTGAATGGTAGGCAGCTTTTGACATGCCTCCCAATGAACTCTACCTCCTGGTATTCATGTTTTTGTGGAATCCCATTGAGTGTGAGCTGATCCTAATGACTTGCTTCTAATGAACAGCAAATGGCTAAGGTGATGGAATATCACTTCTGTGTTTGGGTTGCTAGCATTCTCTTTCCTGCACTCTCTCTTGCCACGGCCACATTGTGAGTTATTCTGTGGAGAGGCCCACGTGGCAAGGAATTGAGGGAAATCTCCAGCCAATAGCTCATGAGAATTGAGGCATGAATCCAACAGTCTGCTAAGATCTGAATCCTGCCAAGTACTACATAAATGAGCTTGGAAGTGAATCCTTCCCATTGGATCTTGAGATGACTGAAGTCTCCCTTGAGTGATGCTCGTAGCTGGAATACTTACCTAAGTTGTACCTGGATTCTTGATCCAGAGAAACTGTGAGATAATAAATGTTGTTTTAAGCCCCTAACATTTTGGGGTAGTCTGTTACACAGTAATAGATAACTAAAACAATGCATAAATTGAAGAGCCAAATATTTACTCAGTGAATTTGGGTTATGGAGACAGGCAATTTGGTTAATTTGATGCCAATTATCTGAGATACTTACACAATGTCTCTTAAGAGTTAAAAAGAATTATACAATATTATGAACAAACACTATTTTTCTAATAATTTTCCCTCCTCTCACTCCATAT